AATAATCAATTGTTATCTTATCTAGAAAGTTACACAATCTGATCATTATATAATTTAAATATGCGCAAACTGGGTATTCACTAAACCATGACTTTTCTACCTTTTTAGTTCAAAATTGATGAGTTAAATACACGTCTGATTTGGAGAATTGTTCCAAATCAATATTTTGGTCTGTTTTTGAAAATCCTTGCAAAATTCACAATAAGTAAAGATTAACCCTGCCATATTAAACACAAATTTTGGAAAACTAATTTCAAAATGGATACATGGGGGAAAAAAATTCAAGTCAGTTTGGTCACAAATTTAAATAAATATAATTTAAATAAGCCCCTAAACTGTTAATCTGTGAAGAATGGCCAACGCAATTTGAAATTCTAGGCCAAAATAACTGCTCATGATTTATCCAGGTACTTTTCCAGTTTGCTAATTTTGGCTTAAATGTTACCATATTCCTTGCAGTTCTCCAGAAATTCCAAGTTTACATGGTTATTTACTAAACACCACCTTATAGTAAATTCAAATCTGAATAGCATGTACACATAATCTAACTGCTGTAGTCACAGTGTGAATGTTTTAGCTGTATTTATTAAAGGGACACCATAGTCATCAACACAACTTTAGCTTAATGAAGCATTTTTGGTGTATAATGAAGCATTTTTGGTGCAGTCTCAGTGCTCAATTCTCTTCCATTTAGGAGTTAAATCACTTTGTTTATGCACCCTAGTCACCCCTCCCTGCATGTGACTTGCACAGCTTTCCTAAACACTTCCTGTAAATAGTCATCTTATGTTTGCACTTACTTTATTGCAAATTCTGTTTAATTGAGATCCTTCTATCTCCTGCTCTGTTAATAGCTTGCTATACCCGACAGGAGCCTCCTGTATGTAATTAAAGTTCAATTTACAGAGCAGGGGAAAATATTTTAAGGTTACATCTGAGTGAAAGTGGAACCATTTTGTTTTCAGGTAGGCTCTGTGAGTCACAGCCAAGGGGGGTGTGGCAAGAGCTGCATAAACAGAAAAAGTGATTTAACTCCTGAATGGCAGTGAATTGAGGAGTGAAACTTCAGAGTCATGATCTATACAAAAACACTGCTTCACTAAGCTAAAGTTGTTTTGGTGACTATAGTGTTCAAATGTGCATTTCAAATTTAAAGCGGCAGTGTCATCCCCCACCCCTGAAAAATTACTATTTCATAAAGATCAAAATTTAATGAAATACTAATTTCGACTGAAATTCCAACCGAGTCAGGAGAAATAGAGACAGAGTAGGTACTTTCTTAGACTCAGGGTGGAGTCTGTCAGTTCTGACAGCTGTCGCCAGTGATGGCTGCAATGAATTGGCTGTGTCTATGGAGGATCTCGCAGGATGCACAAGAGTACAGCAGTGACATTGGTTACTGGCGCTGAAGAGAATCAGACCAAAGAATATGTTGGTGCCTGTGAGGGACAGGTTCGAGTAAGTAAATCTCACCTTTACCTACCACTGATGTCACCATTGGGAATTCTGCAAAGTCCCCAGATGGTGATAGTTCTGTTTTAAGGTAAAAATAGCTAAACTGGAAAATTTCTCTTGATCAGCTATGCTTTCAATTTGACTACTTTTGCCTTAAATTTAATTTGAATTTGACATTAGTTCTACAGTTTGGTTTGAACTCCAAGATCCTCAAGTGTGTTGTGTACACCAGACTGACTGACTTTCTCGAATCCAACTCTCTGCTTGAGTCCTTTCAGTCTGGATTCCGCGCTGGTCATTCTGTTGAAACGGCTGTGACCAAAGTATCCAACGATTTAATTGCTGCTAAATCTCGCAGCCATTACTCTATCCTAATTCTCCTTGATCTTTCTGCTGCCTTTGACACTGTTGATCATCAACAGCTTCTTCGCATTCTCCGTAATTTTGGTCTATGGGATACTGTTCTCTCCTGGTGCTCCTCCTACCTCTGCCAGCGCTCTTTCAGTGTTTTTCTCTGACTCTGCCTCTTCCCCTCAACCACTCTCTGTCGGTGTCCCCCAAGGTTCTGTCCTTGGTCCCCTACTGTTCTCTATCTATACTGCCTCCCTTGGTAAACTCATCAGCTCCTTTGCCTTCCGTTATCATTTCTATGCGGATGACACGCTAATCTACCTGATCTCTCTCCACCCATCTTGACTCATGTCTCTGACTGCCTCTCTTCGATTTCCAACTGGATGGCTGCTTACTTCCTTAAACTCAACCTGTCCAAAACAGAACTTCTGGTCTTTCCTCCCTCAAGTGTTTCTACTCCCGTGTCTGTCTCCCTCCAAGTCAACGGCGCTACCATCACCTCTACCTCGAAGGCTCACTGCCTGGGTGTTCTTTTTGACGCCAACCTCTCCTTCACCCCCTATGTCCAATCAATCGCCAAATCCTGTCGCTTCCATCTCAAAAACATAGCGCGCATTTTCCCCTATTTAACCCCGGATGCAGCTAAGGTGCTGGTCCATGCTCTTGTACTCTCTCGCCTTGACTACTGCAATCCCCTTCTCAGTGGTCTTACGTGTTCCCAGATTGCACCGCTGCAATCTATAATGAATGCAGCGGCACGGCTCATTTTCCTGTCCACTCGTACCTCCCATGCCTCCCCGCTCTGTCAGTCCCTGCATTGGCTTCCAGTTAGATATAGGGCTCAATTTAAAATTCTGGTGCTTACAAGTCCCTACATAATGCTGCTCTAGCCTACCTATCCTCCCTAATACACAAGTATGTCCGGTTGAGGCCCCTACGCTCTGCCAAAGACCTACACCTATCCTCTGTCCGTATGCCCACCTCTAATGCTCGCCTCCAAGATTTCTCCAGGGCTGCTCCTCTTCTGTGGAACTCCCTTCCCTTCTCCGTAAGACTTCACCCAGTCTCCACTCATTCAAAAAATCATTGAAAACTCACTTTTTCAAGAAAGCATATCAATTAAACTGTTAACAGGTTTTCACCTTCCATGACTCCTCCCCTGCAACTGTCAAAAATTACCTACTAAGCCCTCATTGAATACTTTTCTAATAACCTACTTTATACCCCTACTTTTACCCCACTCCCTCTAGAATGTAAGCTCACTGAGCAGGGCCCTCAACCTCTCTGTTCCTGTACGTCCAGTTGTCTGGTTACAATTACATGTATGTTCATCCACTCATTGTACAGAGCTACGAAATCTGATGGCGCTATATAAATAATAATAAAAAATTAAAATTTGCTAAACCATTTGGAGTTTAGCGAATAAACTCCAGAAAGAATAAGTCTGTATTATGGCACTGACTTATTATTTCCCTGCATTCATAATTATAGTGAATTAAACACTAAATTAAAAAAAAGTCATGCTAAAATAGTCAAGCTGTGACTTTTGTTGGTTTTCTTTTCTAGAAATTGGATTATTATTATTATTTTAGCCTTGCAGCTCGGTTATTAGTTAGCAGTTTGGAGATTTTACCCCTATGTGTATAAGATGAGATGATAAGATGTGTATGATTTTGTAAGCCCTGCAGTGCTTGCATTCATTCATATTGAGCCTATATTGATCAATGAGGGCTTCCAATATCCCACAATGCCTTACTTCACTCTGCGTTTAAAAAAAAAAATTAAAAAAGAATATCTTTAACATTTTGCAACTCTCTTGTCAAGCCTTCTGTGATTGGTTGACATGTTGTCTTAGCAACAAAACCTAACTCCCTCCCCTTTGCTGAAATATCATTGGCTGCTTGTCCGGTCCTCTCTCCTCGGACCGGCTCGCGGCCTGTCAATCCAAACGCCTGCGGGAACAGGCGACGGTTGATTACGTCATAAGAAGTGGAGGAAGCCATCGCAGATCAATAATAAATGGGAATGAAGTGCTGGCTATAGAGGGAAGTCGGGTCTAACTAGTAGTTAAAGGTAATTGCTGGGTGTTTGGGAATTCTGTTTACTTGCCTTACACAAAAATCACAAGATTAAAATGAGAGGAGGGAAGGGGGGTCCTTTTGTTAATATTGGAATTTCCTAGTAATAATTGTTGCTTTGCATAGGGTTTACTGGGACACTCTAGGATTTAACATTCTGCAGAAATTTAATGTTTGTTTAGTTCATAAATTTCTTATTGGAGTTGTACATGCCCATATGTTTGTCACCATTGCAATGTGTGTTTTATTCCTTTGTCTGTAAAATATGCCCAAACAACCCTGAAATAGTCAGGGAAGTGCCTTTGGATCAGTTGCTATGCAGTTATTTTAATTTTGTGCCAGATTTAATAACATTTTTGCTCTCTCAGAAATTCTGACAGTTGTATGCCTTGGCATCATGGGGAATGTAGTCCATCACGGCAAATATGCCACACGTAGTTGATGTCGTGCCACGTTTTAGCAGTCTCTGGTATTCAACGTTGCAATTGGAGATTCAATGCTGCTGATAATAACTAATAATTATAGGGAAACTGGTTGGTTCTTAATTTGAGATGGACTTGAGTCAAACTATATTGTAATGTAATCTAATTTTTCCACAATAGGAGCTCAACCTCCATAATGGAGGCAGAGGCAGATTCCGCTGCCGAGATGAATGGCCAAGAAGAGGCAGACAGTGATGGGGAGGACAGCGCCAGTCAGTCAGACTCTGAGGAAGAGAGTTCGGGTATGTAAAATGCAAGTCTGGATGTTAAAGTATGCCACCTGGAAACCCACAAATGCACTATGCTAAAGTTGCTCTGTCATCTAAAGTTTTCTTTACATACATTGTTTATTACGCACTAGAAGACTATTTGAATAGTAGAACTTCCAGAACGAACAAGTACTAATATTTAGAAATTTGGAATAACCACAACAGATTAAAGGAAGACTCATTTAAAAAAAAAAAAAAAAAAAATCACTATTTAATGGGCATGCCCTAATAAAAACATGTTTGCTTTATTTCTGCATTTGGTGGTATAGCTATAAACAGCTTAAAAAAAACTTCAGTCAGTGGCTTCTCATTGAGAAGCCTCTGTGCTGAAGCCGTGCACACTTAATCGTGGCTTTCTAATTCTCCTCAGTGAACTATAATATAGCTCGTTGAGAGGGGTGGAAGGCAGGCATGCTAGGACAACACACCTGGAGCTTCTGTTAGCTCAGTAGAGCTAACGGAAGTGGGGGGGGGGGGAATGATTCTGACTTTTTCTGGCCGCAAATATAAAAGTGATGATATTTATTGACATTTGTATTTTTTGTAAACTGTCACAAATATGACAGGTTCCAGACATGTGAAACACTTGTGGAGTTTACCTTGAATCTATTCATTACATTTACAGAATGCTTATGCTCTTTTATTTGTACTTCACATAGTATCATATGTTCTTCTCATAGACATGGATGATCTTGATTGTGAACGTCGCAGGATTGAGTGTCTGGATGAGATGTGTCACTTGGAAAAGCAGTTTTCGGAATTAAAGGAAAAGTGAGTTGGCCCAGTAGCAGTGCGATAGATTAAGAAACTTTTTATTATTTATCTGTATGACTCTTTTGACATTTATTGTTTATTTCACACTTCTAGTATTATCACCAGTTTGGACAACATTGATTGGTTGAGAGTGCTGGACTAATATGTTGGGTAATATATTTATACTTTAACTTTCTTATAGGCTATTTAAGGAGCGGTTGAACCAACTGAAAGCCAAATTAGAAGAAGTGACCTCAGGCAAAGCGATGGAGTATATTAACCCATTAGCTGATTTACAGAAGAATATGAAAATCAGGATTGAAGTTGCAGGTAATATCGTCTGAGGTGTAGAATATACCAGGAGTTTACAATCTATGGCACAGGTTGCTAGACCCAAATAGGCAGGCTGGGGAGATCAATGGACCTCTCACATATTCTGCCCCCACACGGGTCCCAGTGGAACCAGGAGTCTCTTTTCCCTCAGGCTGTGGCAGTACGCATTGGGGTGGGTGTGTATTGGATCAGTGTGTGCCCCATGAATGTGCCTGGAATGAGTAATTGCTTCTTTCTGGAGTGTGAGACATATACACAGAGCCACGCAAGAAACACACACACATATTAAAAATGGCTTCCTGAAAACAAACACAGATATGCAGGCAGTCCTTCAAAAATAACACAACTGACAATGCATGTACTCACCCAACTGCATAAGAAGCTAAAACGCACAATACAAACTCTGTTTACTCACATACACAATAACACAAACAGCCCATAAACATTGATCAGCCACAACATTAAAACCACTGATAGTGTAGTGAATAACATTGATTACATCATGACAATGGCACCTAACAATTGGCAGGATACATGAGTGACACATCACGCGGCAGAGGCTGGCATGCCGTACTTACTCATTGAGAACCAAGCTCTTTCCGACCTCCGACAAGGGGCACAGTTCTTAGCAGCGCGCCTCACTTGGTCCTCACCACCTGGCACCTGCAGCTGTTCCACATGGGTTACGCCGTGTAGTGGAAGGGAGGAGCACCATGTCTGCCCTTCGGCCCGCCTCCCCTCCGGCGCGCATTCCATGTGGCATGTGTAGTGTGTCCCCCTATGCTGCTTCAGGATCCCCTCAGCATGTCAGAACCCTGGGAGATCCATCCTGGTATTTCCAGGAGCAGTATGGGGAACAACTGGTTAAGTGGACAAACCAGCATAGATTCCTCCCCACAAAAGGGGTGTGTGCACCTACTCATCACAAGGGGGCCATCCACTTAAACAGGCCCATAGGCCACTTCTCACGGGAAAGCTCCCATTCCCCCTCCCCTATTCAAAAACTCAAACTACCCTGGGTCCTTGGTTCAACTTCTAGAGGTTACAAGCCTTCTGTACCTGAACCTGAATCCCTGGTTAACCTTTTGCATGCCTGATCATCTCCTGGATTGCTTGATTTACCTTTGTCTACTTTATATACCTGCTAAAGAGTATCGGTGTGCTGATCCTGCCTGGACTATCATGTTAAAAAGACTTTCCTTTTGCTTCCCAGTCCTGTTTAAACAATAAAGACTTTTAGCTAAGTGACTTTGCTTTTTTCCTTTCTCAGCATACTGAGCCCATTCTCCCAAACCATTACAATTCAGAAGCAAGTGAACAGTCGGTACTTGTTTTTTTTTGTGTTTTTGAAAAAGGAAGAATAAGCAAATGAAAAGAACTGAGTGACTTTGGCAAGGGCCATTTAGTGATGACTATATGTCTGGGTCAGAGTACCTGCAAAACACCAAGTCTTGTGGGTGTTTCCAGTAGGCAGTGATTAGTACACACCAAATTGGTGCTGGAAAGGACAACC